ACTCATCCATCCACCCATCCACCCAGCCATCCGTCTATCCATCCATCCATCCATCCATCCATCCATCCATTCATCCATGCATCCACCCATTCATCCATGCATCCACCCATCCATGCATCCACCCATCCATCCATCTACTCATCCATCCATGCATCCACCCTCCCATGCATCCATCCATCCATCCATCCATCCATCCATCCATCCATCCATTCACTCATCCATCCATGCATCCACCCACCCACCCATCCAACCATCCATCCATCCTTCCACCCATCCACCCATCCATCCATCCACTCATCCATCCACCCATCTATCCATCCACCCATCCACCCATCCACCCATCCATCCATTGATCCATCCACCCACCCACCCATCGATCGATCCATCCATCCATTCATCCATCCATCCATCCATCCATGCCTCCCTCCAGTGCTTGCCAAATACTCTCCTGTGTGGCCTTGTGCTGGGAGCTGGAGACACACAGATGATTCAGACTTCGTCCCTGACATCAATGATGTCAGATCAGTGGGAAGACTGACCACAAATCAGTCAGTGCTGTCCAGAGAGTTGGGGCTATTGCAGCCAATGTGGTGAAGGAGGAATGTCGCACAATTCCTTCTGTCAAACGGATGGTAGCTGGGCAAGGCAAGCGATGGGCCACTCTGGCTTGGATGCCAGGTGGGAAGCGAGTCTGCTGCTGACACCACATTCATGTCCACACAGAGGCCATTGGTCAGGGAAGCAAGGAAGCACCAAGGAAGGACACACAGGGAGCCAGGCTCAGGTGCAGTGCCCCAGCAGCCATTCTGGGGTTGGGAAGCCACGTGGGCAGCTGGCAGTGGGCACATCCCAGGATGGAGTGAATTGTCCACGGGGCCCCTGGTACTAGATGGCCAGGTGTTGAGGGGTGCACACACAGGGACAAAGACTGCATGACCAGGGTTCCCTCAGGGAGCAGGCCTTCTGTGTGGATGCAGGATTCGCAGAGAAGGGCTGGCCTGGAGCCACATGAAGCTCCTCCTGGGGCCACTCTGGTCCCTGAAAGGACCCTCTGTCGGGGCAGGAGTGCTGGGGGCCAGGAGCAGAGCTGCCTCTGGGCACATGCAGCAGGTGGTGGGACTGCACATGGTCACTCACCATCTCAGCATTTTCATAAGGGCCACGGAATGGCTCCTCCCATCCCAGGGCCACTGACCACCCCGCGTTCTTGCCAGAATTCAGGCCCACGACAGAGGCAGTGGTCCTCAGACTCTGTAGGCTCAGAGCTGTCCCCGGGCTGGAGGAAGTGCAGGTTCCTGGCCCACTGCCAGGGCCAGATCAGTGGGCTGTGGCCCTTCCACGTGCCTGGAATGCATGATGCAGCATTGCAGTCAGCTCCTCTGACCCTGAAGGCAGGTGTCAGGTCTTTACAAAGGAGGAAACAACCTTGGGAAGGTGAAGAAATGTGCCCAAGGCCTCACAGCCAGTGACCAAGCAGGACTGGAACCCGGGCCCAGCTCAGGAGCCCAGCCTGTGTAGATGGGGCCGCCGACTTCCCCAGGCTGCCAGCAGAGACATCTGGCCAGGGTCTTTAAGGACAATGACGTAGGAAAACGTTCCTAAAAACATATTTTGTTTTCACAAGCTTTGCTCTGGAACAAGGACGAAGAATTTCGAGAGATGTCAGGAGTTTCTGCACACTGAATTCACACACCCAGGGACCACTCTCGGGTTTTGTTTTCACATCTCAGCACTCGGCCTTTCTAAGATGATACGCATGTTTTCTCTCGCAAAGGAAAGAGGTCAGCACTACATGGGCCTCCTTGCTCCAGAGTTTGAATGGGACATGTGAACCCAATACAAGGCCAAGGGAACTCCGCTCCGAGCCCCGTGCGACAGCTGAGGACTGAGCCGCCTGGGAGCGAGCAAAGCTTCTAGTCCCGTGAGCAGGCGTGTAAAGGGGGAACCGTAACCGTGCCTATACACATCCTTTCACATTCTCCCTCGCTGCCCCTCGGGGCTCCCCTGACCACAGTGGGACCAGAACTGCCTTCCTCTGGGCGTCACAAAGCAAGCTGAGCCACCTCCCGGGGCGGCCGCTGGGCAGTCTCAGAGGCAGGACGGAAACCAGCTGAGGTCAGTCCTGGGCTTCAGTGGGAACAGGCGGGGGAGTGTTCCTGGAAGCTGGTGGGAACCCTGGGTTCTCATGGAGCCTCCCTGACCCCCTGGACTCAGGATCAAAGCCCCAAGCCCAAGCGAAACCTCCCGATGGAGGTCCCAGTGACAGCCAGTGGCCAGAGCGCGGAATGCGAAAGCAAACCAGAGGCCGCTGTGGGGTTGCCGGGCAGCACGGGCGGCCAGGAGTTCCCACCCCGGGAGACCGAGATGTCTTCCTGTCCCCGCGGAGCCTGGACCTCCCACGAGTGTAACCCGGGGCCACAGCTGGGCTCCTCTGCAGGCGCCCAGGGGCCGAGTCTGGCGCTGGGCTCCGTGTGTGGGGCCCCTCGGCCCAGCTCACCTGTCTTGAGTGATTAGGAAGCTGGTGGCTCACGCGCCTGGAGGCCATCGCCTGAAGCTGTGCTGCTTCCTGTTGTCTGTGGCGCCCACCATGTCCCCTGCCGTCCCCATGGGTTGGCTTAGCCTCAGGCTCAGGTGGCAACGTGGCTGAAGCAGCACATAGCTCCTCAGAGGCCAGCATAATGTCCAGTGAAACTCAGAGACCACTTCTGTCCCAGCATCCCAAGCTGGTCCTTTACACTCAACCCAGCAGGACCCTTGGGCGGGGCCCTGTCACGGAGCCAGCGACTGGGGCAAAGGGACGAAATGAGCTGAGGTGCTTCAGCCATGATGGGCCCAGCCCTGGGGCAGACCTCGGACAGAACTGGGGTTGTGTTAGGGAGGGCGAAGGGGCTCAGAAGCTGGGCAGGAAACCCACGAGGCCCACCACAAGGGAGCAGGGAACCAAGACCACCCGACCTCCGGGGGGCCCGTGGCTGGGGCCTGGCCCACGCTTTTCTGACAGGGCCCACCGTCTGGCAGGGCACGTTCCACGCGGAGTCTGGGGAATGTCCAGAACAGCTGTGTGGGCCAAGCCACGTGGAAATGAACCTCGTGACAAGGACGTGGGCCTTAGTGCGCCCTTGTCCTCGCACGGTGCGACGGGTGACGGCCAGACAGACGCTGACTGCGTGAAAAATCCCTGCTGGGGGGCAGCCCAAGGGCCAGGACCCCCTTAAATCCCTTGGGGGGGATAAAAAAGAACGGGGAAAAACGATTAGGGTTGGGAGGGGCTGTCAGAAGCACATCAAAAGGGACAGTCCCCAAATGTCTGCCCTGTGTCAACCATACGTGCCATGAGGGAAGTGCCCACACCTCCACTGCCACCAAGAACCTCGGTGGTGACACTGAAGCCCTCAATCCTGAGATGCAGGTGGGCTCTCAAAGACGATGATGGGGTGTGGCTGACTTTTTCTTTATACTCGTGGTTTCCATTCGTGTCCCTCCAACCAGCCCCACGGCCACAGGAGGCTGCTCCTCTTACACCCAGGGGACACGGTTCCCCCTGGGCAGGCAGCGTCCTCGGCGGGTCACAGAGATTTCCAGCCACAGGCATACATTTGTGTCTGCTGCCAGGAGAGACCTCTTGCCTGGTCTTCCGCCTTGAGACTGTCCTTGCCGTCTGTCCTCCACGAGGCCTCATGCTAACGAGAACCACTGAAGGCCTCTCCCGAATGTCAGACCAGGCGGTGGGGCCTGCTGTCACCAGTATGTGGACTGCTCTGGGAGGGCCTGCAGGTGCCATCAGTCAGGAAAGTTAAATGACTGGTAAAAGTTTTGGAAAGATAAAGGCAAAACCATCATTATTTGCCAATGACATCTAAGGAAAACCGGAGAATCAACGAAGGGCTATTATAATTAAATAAGGTTTTAAACAGGTGACCCGTTACAAAATACACAAAAATGAGCTAGCTTTTTATTAAAAACAACTTGAAAAAGTGGTCTTAAGTGGGAAAACTACTTACTGCAAAGATATAAACTCTCCTGATATTAATCTATAAATTAAACAAAATTCCCAAATTCTGAAGAATCTTTCTTTAATCTGGGGATGGGGGAGTGCCCAGACTTGACAAAAATAACACCGAAGTTCACACACCTAAGAAATTTTTTGAAAAGATGAGAGATAAGGCTTTATTTACTTCCTCCAAAAGATATTAAAAAGTATGAAAGCCACAGTAATGGAAACAACAGAAGCTGACGTGAGAAAAGACAGTAAAACAGAGAAGGGCAGAAACAGACTCAGGAACACACACGGTTCTGGCATTTGGTAAGGCGGCATTTCAGGTTGGTGTGCTATTCACTGTGCTAACCATCGTAGCTCCCGACCTCACATCATACCTCGAGGTAAATCCCCAGTCCATTAAACACTGCAGTGGACTCAAAGAAAGACAGATGAAAATGCGACTCATCTCAGTTTGGGAGAGGACCTTCCGAGCATGACCTCAAAGGCTGAAGCATAAGCAATTCTTAGTTTTTTCATTTATACATATATATATAATTTAAAATTTTAAAAGTTACATTAAAGCAAAGAGAAAAAATTAACACAAAAGGCAAATGATAAATGACGAAAAATAATTTTCAATGGATGTCAAAGGTTTATTATTATTAATACATAAAAATATTTTCAAAATCAAAATATTTTAAAAACTAAATGCTCCATTAGGCAAAGAACAAGAAGAGGCAATTATCACAGGAGAACCAATAGAAATAGCCTATAAACATATGAGAAGACATGATCAGTTCCCAGTAGGGAGCACAGAAAAGCAAACGGACCCAAGACATGTGGTTCTATGTAACCTCTCAGATGGTAAGAGAACAGTAAGGAACAGGGGGACACTGCTGGTGGGAGCCTGGGAACAAAGCCTCCCGCCTCCTAGGGGGACACACGCAGCTCCGGGAGGACGACTGATAACAAGGAGGCTTACGGAGCGCCGTCTACACCCAGGCTCTCTGCTGCGTGCTTTTGAGATTAGCGCATTTTAAGGCTTACAGCCGCCCAAGGAGGCAGATTCTTGCCTTCATCCTGTTTCATCAGCGGGGCCGCTGGGACCCACCCAGGCAGTCTGGCCCCGACTCTGTGCTCTCATCCTACGCTCATCCGGCCTGCTCCAGGGCCTGGGACCTCATCACAAGGCCGCCTGCGATGCTCCCAAGTCCCCTTCCAGGAACCGAGGCGCACGAGAGGCATGTGCGTGAATGGCCACCCCAGAGCCGCCATAGAAAGCACAAACCCTAAATCTCTATAACCCTGAAGAGGAGGTCTGTTCATCTTGTAATCCATGCTGCTGGACGGGCGAGATGCCTGTGATGTACCTTTAGGGGGGAAAGGAAGTCCAGCAAGAGCACGACCCCATTTCTGTGAGGAAAATCACACACACAAACACGTATACACAAACACAGGAGAAGGAGGAAGGCATTCGAAATGGGGTGTGCTAGAATGTTATCCGTAGGTGGGATGACATGGTCCACAGGGCCACCAAGGGATGGGGTAGGCACAAGTCACTGTCACCTTCTGGCCTCAGTGTTCATGGGGCAAACCCAGCAGGAACCAGGATTACAGGTGGACCCAGTTCTGTGCCCTATGGCCCAAAAGTAAATAATGTGACCAGTGGTTATTCTCGAGGGTGGGGTTATCAGTGACACTGTCTTCTTTGAACTTTCCTCTACTACTGAAATAGTACCGAACGACCACATGTTGGTTTTATAATCAGAAAAACAGTGGTAGAAAGCAATGAGGTTAAATTTTTAAAATTTATTCCAATTATTCCAGTTTTTACTGCACAATGTTTTCAGATGCTTTATTTTTTAAATGACCTTTAATGACTCTCCACACCTTAACCGACTCCGCTCCTGCCGTCAGGTGCAGCCCTGCGCCCAGGCAGCTGGGGGCCAGGGGCAGAGGAACCAGCGGGCGTTGGTGAGGCTGGGGACGAGGGGTGCAGCACCTAGGCCGAACGCTTCACAGCCTATGCTTCCGGGCCTTCGTGACGAGGACACGTCCTGCCCGCAGAGCGAGCCAGCTCCCATCCTTCGGGAATGGAGACATTCCTAACAGTCAGACGTGAGAATGCAACAGTGCAGGGACACTTGGTCACACATCACAGAGCTTTCCTGAATCAAAGGGCCCGGCACGTCTGACACTTACAGACAAGCCTGTTTATGTTCCTAGAGGCAACACACTCTTGACTTGGGACCACATCTATGACCTGTTGGTAGAACTGGTGGCTCCAGACCCAAGACTAGACAAGAAACCAAGGTCCCATACGACAAAAGGCCAAACACAAAAACCGACATGCCCAGATAAAGGTGTCGCTCCTGAAGTGGGGCCCGAGGCCTGCTCCTGAGGGGGTGTCCTGGGGCGCAGGGCGTGGCTGAGACACAGCAGCGGGAGCGTCAGAGGACCTGAGAGCCAGCTCCTCACTGCTCAGGAAAGCTTCGGGGTCTGGGTAAAGCAGCGTCGTCCACGAACACACAGCCCACAGTGGCCTCCGGGGAACATGGATAGAAATTGGTGTGACCCCAGCCGGCAGGGGCTGGGACCAGGAAGGCTGGCCTGGGGACCCCTGAGGAGACCTGTGGGGAACGAGCCCCTCCTTCTGGCACCAACAGGCTCCTCTGATCTACTATTTGGATTTGTGCTCAGAACCGGCCCATCAAAATTGCTAAGGGTCTGGAATACCTTTGTTGTTCCCATTCTCTCTGAAAGCAGGCAAAGAAGAGTATAATGGAAAAAACAGCCTTAAAAAATGTGAAGGCTTTATTTAAAACCCAAGGAAACCACCCAACCAGACAGATATTAAATCGGGTGGGATTGCTCCCTAGTTGAAACCATAATACTGATCCCAGCGACTACCAACGTGTGCCTGGCCCTGAGGACGTGTTGGACTGAGGCCGTGCAGGGCCTTTGGGTCATACCGGAGAGCCTGGTCCAGCTCTGCCACGTCATGGCTGTCTGGTCCAGGGCAGTAAGCTAGCCCTTTGGGGTCCATTTCCTCATCTGTAAAATGGGCATGACAGTACAGCTCACCTCACACAGTTGTCTGGCGGTCAATGATAGACAGAAAGTTCCAGCATGCAGTATGTGCTCATTAAAAGTCTCCCCTCCTACCCACTCTGATGCTCCTGGCAGCTCTGTGGGGGGTGCACTCATTTTCCAGTCATGAAAACTGAGGCTTGAGAAGTCAAGGAACCACCCATGTAATTTCCAGAGCTAGAAATCCAGCCTTTAAGAACAGATTCTCACCCACGCCCTTCACGGGCTCAGAAGTTCTCTGGGCTATTTTGAAAAATAAGAAATGGTCCTCATTTGCTCAGCTCCACTCTGCACTCTGTGGGCGCCTGGGTCACGTCTGCCTGGTGGGCTGCAAGGCCGCAGAGGTCGGGAGGGCACTGGGGCTGCTGATGACAACAGCCGGGCCCCCAGGACTGACCAGACCATCAGATAACCCGACGGCCGAGGGGATAGAGAGACAGCACTCAGTAAGAGCACCCCACCAGCCCGTCATCCTGACCTTAGAAACTCGAGTGACCGGGGAGGTGCTCATCGACCTCCTCAGTCTGGTCTCCACGGATCGGCCCTGTGCTCACAGACCTGGGCCGCACTGGGGACAGACACACACACACACGCACGTGTGTGTGAGTCTGCTGAGCAAACGCTCCATGGGCCAAGCAGCACTGGGTATTTACCGCCAGAAGAGCAAACTGATTTGAGTAACATGCACACAACTGGGAGGCCCAAGACGTTAAGTTGTCCAGACATTCAAACCGTGACGCATTTTTTTCTTTGGAAACATTTCCTTGATGGAAAATTCTAGTTCCACACGAGAAAGTAATAAAACTGATTCTCTTTCCCTTAATCTTAAACTATGTCACTCAGATGGTCTACAGTGCAAACTAGGAAGGTTATAATGTAATTTAATTACATGGTAAAGTCAAGCTGGCATTCACAAAGAATCATATTGGCATCATTAGGTCCTCAGTGAAGAGGAGCTTTGTCAAAAATCTCAGATGAACGCAAAATACTGTCTGACCAGAAAATCCCTAATTATGCGCAGTCAGCTTTACATGCGGTGCGTGAAACAGAACGTGCAAAGTTCTCATTACCAGAGTCGACAGTCCCTCAGGTGGACGTGATCGTGTAGGTTCTCTCTTCGCACAGCAAGTCACGACAGATCCCAGTGAGCCTGCACTTCAGCTGACACCCCTCCAGGGCGACTCAGGACAGCCCAGCCCAGGATGGCGAGTGCCACCTGTCAGTCAGTTAAGGGACAGTCAACCAGTCAGTTAAGGGCAGAGGTACGTGTTCAGAAAGCGGCAGCAATTTCCAGTAACTTCTGGAACCAGAATTTGAGATCAATGTCCTCATTAGCTTAATTACATTTAGCAGAACGTGTACCTCGTGACTACAGCTTTGATTTCCAACTTCCTATGACAGGCTTGTTGGCAGAAAATTCCGGCCACCACGAGGCCCTCTCCAGCACCTTGCTCTCCTGAAGGACAGCAGTCCAGAGGTTTTTATAGAGCTGCAAAAAACACAGACATATATAAATAATAATAACGATTCCTCAGATGGCTGAGTGTGCAAACGCAAGCCCCCTCATAAGTTTTGTTAAAACAGGAGATTCTCTCGTGTCACTTTTTAGAGAAATTCTAAGATGATTTAAATTTAATTTATATAAATCTTTTTTCAGTAGAACACAGTTACAGTGCTATTATAAAGTGCCATAAAGTACATTTATGATGAAAACATCCCACTCGTCCTTTTCTTTGGAAATTCTTGTCAATGGCGGACGTTCTGCTTCCTAATCAAGTGTGGCCACCATGGGATTCTACGAGTCTACGTGCTTTCTTCTGAAACCTGTCCTCTCGCACCCACGCGGCCGCTGGCTGGCTGGCACGGTGGAGGTGCAGCCCAGCAGCAGAAGGCCTTGCTGTGTGGTCCCCTGGCCCTCTCTCTGCCTGCCCCATCAGACTGCTCCCTCGGGGCCCACTGGCCGTCTCCTCCAGGACTTTCACAGTGAACCTTCCCCCGAGCTGCCTCACTGGGGAAACGGGGAGAGCAGCTGATCTAAGAGGAAGGTGGTGAAAATCCCACGTTGCTGCTGACTCGCCTCACCACTCCCAACACGGTCAGCGCCCAGGCCGTGAGGCTGGGGACAGATGAGCCGCCTAGAGCTCACGGGGACGGGCGAGAGGCCTGGTTCCTATCTGGCAGAGGTTGCCCAATTTCACCTTTAAGCAATCACTCTCCCTGCACCTGCTCAACGCGCGAAGCCCTTCCTCCTCCACACTCTGCAGTTCTTGGCTCCCATAGAGACACAGCCAGGCTTTCTCGACACAGGGCATAAATCTGAGGTTACATTTCACAGTTTGGAGCGTTATACTTCATTTAATGATTGTCTCAAATAATCTCCTACAGCTGTGTTTGTTCAGGTACAATGAACTTCTTACCTAGTAGCACCTGGTTAAGACATCAATCCTTAAACCCGGGAGAAACACGTCTGTGTAAACCATCCCATCAGGCGAGGCCTCCGCGGCTCTGTGAATCCAGAGCCAGGAGGGGCCCCATCACGAGGACGGCCCTCCCTTCCTCCCGGTCACCACAGGCCCTGAGGCAGGCAGGGCTGCCTTCCGCAGAGCAGGCACAGTGCTCAAGCCACTCCGGCTCCCTCTGGCCAGGGCAGACCCCCCGTGTGCTCAGGGTCCTCGTCCGACTCCACTGCCAGGCCCTCTGTGACAGGCACGTTTGTGCTGCTTCCTCCTCAAACGCCCACCTGCCTGTCCTGTCCACCTGGTAAGGCCCCACCGTGGGCGGAGGCCAGTCCCTCCCCCGTGGGCTTAGCACGTTCTCCTCCGTGCTCCCACTGGGGCCCAGGCCACACGAGGGGACCGAGGCTCGCCCTCCTGTCTTCTCTGCAAGTGGCAGCCATCTGCCCAGATCCTCGCTCTGCCGCTCCCTGGCTGGGCAACCGCGGGCAACCCTCCTGGGCTCTCTGGACGCTGGGTTTCTCCCCAGCAGAGTGGGCGTGCACACATACACTGTGTGGGACGCAGTGAGGATGCCCAGTGCCCAGCCATGCAGCCAGAGGACAGCGGGCCCTGCACAGATGTTACTGTCCCCACCCCTGCCCGATTTGATGGGGAACCCTTCCATCCTGCGCCCCCCCCACCAGCGCCTGGGACACCCCAGGTGTGGCGGGGCTATGTGGAGGCCAGGGCACCTGCCCCCTCACTGGATAAGTTCACGATGGTCTCCTGAAGTACCAATTCCAGGGCTCCCCTGAGGACAGATGGAGGGCTCCTGTCCCCTTACGTTCAGTCTCCATTTAAGCAGAGCCTGGGGTGGCAGCAGGTGTCTCGGCAGAAAGAACACGACCTTGGGGGTCAGAGGTTGGGGGGGGTGAGTCCTGTTCATGGCTCACAGCCGTGAGACCTCAGGCATGTGACTGCAGAACTCTGAAATGCCACCTCCCCACGGTAACACAGGGACAACCAGCCTAGGTAGCAAGGTGCTGCGGGGCACCGAGCAGACCAGCACGCATCGTCCAGCACAGCATCTCCACGTGGTGGAGAAAGTCACGTAGGGGGACATGAGGCTCAGTAACCAGTGCTGCAAGATCACGCAGCAGAACAAAGTGGGGGCGCCTGGGGGCACTTCAGTGGAGGCCAGAGAAGACCTCTCTGAAGAGGCAGCAATCTCCTTAGACCCAACAGAACAGGAGTGCTCCAGGCAGCAGGAACAGCAGCTGCAAAGGCCCTGGGGTGGGAATAAGCCCAGCATGACAAAGAACAGAGAGGAGGACAGCGAGGCTGGAGTCCAGAGGGCAGGAGGAACACGCATAAAACGACCCCGGAGAACCAGGCAGAGGTCAGGCGCACACTGGGGCACAGGAGGGGACGTGGGTGTATTTCAGGTGTGGGGGACACTTGGTGGAGCGCTCAATCAGGGGAGCGGCTTCTCAAGGTCTGCTTTTTAAGAAACCATTCTGGAGCACCAGGGGCAACAGAGACTGGGGAGCTGTGTGGGGGCCGCTGGGAAGTGCAGGACAAGGGGCGAGAGGCCCACTGATGGGGTGGAGCTGGCCCTGCACGACGCTCAGAGAGACCCTGACGGGAAAGGGCCCTGGGGAGGGTGAGAAGAGGGAGAAGGCTGCGGGGCCCGCGCGTCCCACAGGCCTGCGCCGACCCTGGATTCACCGCCCTGTGGGGGTGGCACTGGCATCCATTTCTCGGAGGAGGGCAGGCTGGGGGACGGCTGACTCGCCCAAGACCCCCCGACTTCTTCAAGCCGCCCCTCCACTGCCGCCCACAAGGAGGGCGTCTGGAGACTCTGGGGCCGTGTCGACACGGGCTCTGCAGTAACTGCCATCAGCTGCCAGGGCGCCCCGGCTCACGCTCGGGTGCACGCGTCCCCCACCGGGTCACAGAGTGGGGCTGCTCTTTACCTCGCCGTCGGCTCTGCCAATCGGTGAGTCCAGGACAAAGTCAGGAGGGGCGATCACGTCCACCAGGGCAACCGCGTCATCTTTCAGCTGTTGGAAAACAAAGTCCACACGCTTGGCAGCTCCCAAAATCGCCATGGTGACCACCGAGTAACAGAGCCCCAGCCGTCTGTTGCTTCGACCCACTAGCAACAGTAACCCCCGCAGGCGCATGCAGCTCGACTGCTAACTCATTATCTTTTCGTTGGCCTGGATTACAGATTCCCTCAGTGTGAGTTTGAATATTTTCACCATGTTGCTATTCACTCAAGACTTCCAACGTTTTATTTTTTTTCAACAACGTAGGGACTGCTTGTAAAAGTGACGACTCTGCGGCTCATTAACTGGCAACTGTCTTCAGAGATCTGTCTCTGAACGCTGACTTCTCTGGGCAGCTGCTGTTCTAACACAGGAAAATTGGTCCAGAAGAAATGTAATAGAGAAGGCATTTATGAGCACCTGGAAAAGTCCTAATACGCAGGCCCTCTGGTTCTCAGTGGTTTTATTACTCTCTCGTCCCATTATACAAATTATTCTTCAATATGACAACTGGAATTTCTATAAGAAGACTCCCAAGAATTTTCTTGAAATGAAAAAAAGATTTTTTCTACAGTAATGGTAAAACGCCGAGGCTGTGCTGGACAGAACGTTGGAACGGGGCAACTCGAACGATGCGGATGAAGGGCAATCGCTTAGCAGTGACAGGACCACAGCGAACAGGAAATGGGCACGTCTTCCCGGCCCAGGGGCTGCTCCCCAACGCACACATTCACCTGGGCCTAGGCTCGCACACCCTCCGCACTGAGGGTCTCTGATGAACAAGCCCACCCACCTCGGATGGAACCACCAGCAGAGCAGGCCCCGTCTAGACCAGGGGTCAGCAACCTTTAACGTAAAGGGCCCCTGGGAAACAGTCCAGCTTTGTGGGCCACAGGGCCTGTCTCACCGCTCACCTCTGCTGGGGCAGCTCGGACGCACCCAGAGATGATGCACAAGTGCAGGCCTCTGCCGACCAGGGCCTAGGGGACGGAACTAGCGCCCCTCCGCCTGGCTGCCCCAGGCCTCCCCGAGGGAGAGCAGATCCCGGGTCTGCCACATGGCAGATGGAGACAAGCGTGGGCTGCGTTACCGTGCACGCGACCACCGGCTGCCTCAGCCGCAGCTGCCAGCCGCGCAGTCCCGGGGGTGCTGCCTACAGCGTGTTTGAGGGCCAGGGAGACAGCCGTGTGTTTTTATAAACGGCAACGCATTGCTGTGGAGCACACAAAGGAAAGTCCTTCCTGTCACTGGTTCTGCTTTGAGAAAGGCAAACGCGGCCGTCTGTGTGCACTACAGTTAGACACACCCTCATCAGAGCCCTCAGAGACAGAGCGAGGGCGCCTGGGAAGGGGCTCTGGGGCAGCGGCTCAAACCAGTAGAGACCTGACCTGGTGCTCTCTACTCTGGAAGCACGGACGGGGGAAATGAAGTGGCAGGTCCCCAGTCCTCGGGACATCTGATAAGATGCTGGCGGGGCTTTGGGTCACTTCCCACCATCAGGAGTAGAGTAACAACTCAACTAATCGCAGTTGCACTACCCAATGTGGCTCTTTAATTAAAACTAAACATCCTCAGTCACACCAGCCACGTGTCCACGGCCAACAGCCCGCGTGGCTAGTGGTGACTGCAGGGGCAGCACAGCTCTGCGACAGGGCAGCCCTGTAGGAAGTCCTGGACAGAGCGTGGCCGGAACAGAGTGGGGTTGGGCCGTCTGACCTTCCTGGTGACGGAGGCAACAGAAGACAACACACAAGGAAACACCATGAAACGAATTTAAACTGGAGGCTGAGTAACCTGAAATGCTCGAGAGAAGAAGCACCGACGTGGCTGTGCAAGTGGGTGAGAGTGAGCTGAACGTGTACAGATTCTAAGATACTCCCTACAAGCTACTCTTTCCTGACGTTTCTGACAGAAGCATATTTTTCGCTAATTTTCCTGTATTTGCTAAACATTGCCGGCACACGAACACGTGGGCAGCAAAAGTCAGCGAGCGCTGATACCCAGAGGTCACCTGTGATGTGTAAGTCAGAAGAGGACACAAAGCTGACCGCCACTCACCTGGGAACACAGGTCCAAGATGGCGTTCTCCATCATTTTACCTGCCTGCTCGCCAGAGAAGTAGCCACCTGTAAGCACAGCGTCGGTTACCCTGGGGTCAGATAACCCAGGTCCAAAGTCACCCACAAATAGCAATCATCCTGAAACGTGAAAATGTCTCACTGCCGCTGCCCGCGCCCAGCAGCGACCCCTCTGCAGGAACACCTGGCCCAGCCGCGGTTCTCATATCCCTTTTCCCACCGGCTCCCTGAGCGTGAACCAGGAGGTCACAGCCAGGAGCTGATGCAGAAGCAAAGAGCCCAGGCGTGAGGAACGCAAGATCTGAGGGCTCAGCGGGGCGGGTGGGCTGCGTTGGGCCCAGGGTGGAGGGGCTGGGGGG